GGGCTCTGGCTTATCAATCGGTTGTTCTGGTGAGGTAGTCGATGGTTCTGCAACAGCTGTTCCAATTTCCATAGGTTCTATAATTAATTTTGTTAAATATTATTGCGTAATAAGAAATAATTAACAATATTTTAACACTTTCGTACCAATTATGATTCCAACCTCTCTCAGTTCTGCTAGTTCTTCGGGGGTGTATATAAATTCGGAATCGTCAATGAAATCTGACTCATAGCTATCAGCACTATCATATTCTTGGTTTACCGCGTCCTTGTTATCAACTTCTTCGACCTAAAAAATGTCAAATTTATATAAACTGAATCACTGCAATCATAAAATCAAGCTACATATTAGCATAGCTTACTCTAAATATTTTTTGCCGAGGCTTATTATCAGGCTTGGGCGGTGGTGGCCCTTTTGCCAGAGATACCTTCCATTCTAATAAGTATATATCTCGTAAAGTTGGATCCAATATTCCACATTGACGTTTAGCATCTTTATCAAATGTTGACTTTGATTCAATATTGGATTTCACATGGTTGATTAATTGAGGAAGGCGCTGCATTAATTTGATTATATATGTTAATCTTAGTTTTTAATATTTAAAAAAATTGGCAGATTAAAAAAAGTTAAGTACAATGATATTCGTAGCCCTTTTTTTTTTTTTTTTTTTATCATGGAGCATGTGAAATACAAATATACAATTTTTTTTTTTAGATTATATATAAGTTTATTTCTTCAAAAAATTTTTTGTAATATAATTTAAAAAAAGTTTGTTTATTTATTTTAAATAAATAAAACTCTAAACAATAAAGTTTATAGTATAAAGGAACCTTTACGCATATAAAAGTTTGCTGATATTATGTATCCATTTCTAACGACACTGTATAGTCTTACCTCATTATTCAATTTGTGTAGTTTTTCTGTTAATTCATCGATAACTTTTTGGGGTTCACGCTGTTGCTTTCGTGGGAATAATTTCCTCCAATATTTGTAGCGCGATGTTTCTATTTTCTGCAACCTGTACGCAATAATTTTGTAATAAAAAAAATTAATTGTATTCATGTAATATATAACGTAAAGTATTGGTAGATATTGACACTTACTCTTTATCTTCCCAGATTTTTTTAAAATCATTAATATAATCAAGGATCATTTGATGTGCACGATCAACCTGAGGCTCTATTAAGTCATCAGACATTATAACTTCTGACCCTTTATCATCAGCATTTCTCATAATAAAGAGGCTTGCTTCTCCTTTCTGTTTGATATCCTCTTCCTCTTCCATTACTTCTTCTTCAAGATCACTAGAAATATAATTGTTCTCTTCATCACTTTCGCCATATACCTTAGTAGAACGAAATGATGGTCACACACAAATTCATTTCTTAGAAAGATTCTCTAAATATATAAAAAAGTTAGGTATTTACTGGAAGTAATTCATCGTCTTCCATGTACATCCAACGCCTAAGATATCCATAATCTGATTTCTTTTCCTCTGCTCTTTTATAATCTTCTTCTGTAAATTGCTCTGCTCCAAATGGTACGGCACGAAAACGAGATAGTGAATCTTCATTAGGGTGCATGAAAGAATCTACATCATCGTCTAAATATTCATTTAAACGTGAATCTTCATCTTCATCAAGGCTCACTTCATCATTTAAGCCTTCTTCATCATCTAAATCCATTGAACTTGCTTCGTCATCACCAGACTTTTCATCATTTTCGAACATTTCATTATCACTAGTGCTAATGTCAGTACCATCTTCAAGATTTATTATTTCCTTTTGAATTTCAAATGGTAATAAAGTTGATGGATCCGGAGGGAGAATTAAACGAGCGATTGGGGGG